ACTCAGTCAACTTACCATTCAGACAGATGATCACTTCCACTGTGCTATGCCTGCGCCATCTTTGTTATTAGTTGCCACAGTTGGGAGGCGACAGCCTATGGTGACAGCAGGCTGCTGTGACAGCAAATCTTGTAATGCTGTGGGAGGAAAGCATGTTATACGGCCTTACTTAAACATATCACCATAATGATTGACAATTAGGAGGAGCACTTATTTAGAGGATCCACCGGGAAATAAAAGATCATCCTCTATACCATTAAGGTCATGCCCTAAAAAGACTCAGCCAGATTATTGAGAGAGCAGTATTACTTGTTTTAATGAAACATGGCTGCAATGACATTATGTTTCCAAAGCCAAGATATTAAACAGTCACATTTTGTCCATATTTTGGTTACTGCAACATTTATCCATTATTATTTTTAGACCCTTTCTGAAACAAATGAATGAGACACACTTCTTTAACTTTTATTCTACCTTATTCCCTTTTCGGACATTTGTTTAAGTGGAAATACAGCTAAAGGATTAAAAGAACAGTGTGGTGTCTTTAGCTTTTTCTTTTACAACTGAGATTGAAAGCCGATTAATATCATCTAGATAGACGTACCTTTAGTCCGTTGCCAAGAGGTAGATAGATAAAGGTTAGGTGAGGACAAACTGTGTTAAACATTTCAAGCTATCCTACTTTCCCTGTGTTGCAAGCTTTTCTATTTTAGGTTTTCTGAGTGTTATGCTTAGTGGTTTATGCTTCAATAATCAGCTGCCCCTTGTTTCAAGCTTGAGCTGTTTGGGATTTTTGATGGAGTTGTTCCACAGGGAGACATATATTAATCCTAATGTGACTGGATTCTTTGATATAAATGAAAAAACCGATATGAAGTTTATATGTCATTGTCTGTATAAATGTTATAGTAATTGTGGGTTTTTCATAATGCACATTAGTCGAAATTATTTTTAGAGTGGAATAATTGTTCAAAACAATACTTCATAAAGGTTTAAATTGTACAATCAGTCCTTACATGCCACCTGTATTTGGTTATCTTATGTCCTTTACCAAGTTACATAAAAGGTTTTATAGCCACGATCAATGGGATACGGTTATTTTATCTTGTGTATGAACACTTCTGTCAGAAATTGAAGAACTCATCAACGATGGCTTGTTTCCTGACATGATTTTATCTACAGTCAATATAATTCTTATAGGATATGGGTATAGTTTTATATGATTTTGTTGTATCTTACTCCTAAGGAACACTGATCATGCTCAACCTGGGAGAGGCTAGGACTCTACTTTAGACTGTCTTTGTCAACCAAGACAATTTCTTTTTTGGCCCTAACAACAACTAATGGGATAATTAAGGTGAGGGTTTTAAACCAAAGAACCCTGTACCAGCTCTCCAGCAGGTCATTCAAAGTGTCTCACTGCCAATAGGACTTCTGTATTACACAGGTGAAATATGTAGGACAAAGACTCACCTAAGTTGTTTTTGTACCTTTGTTACCTTTGTGTCTTACTAAATTCTTCAGCAAGTTTGCCAGCTTGAAAAAGTATAGTATATGTACCATAATAGAGCATGAAGACATACAAACCATCCTCTGACTTTGTTTCCTTTCTCTAGGATAACATTGCGGATTCCCCTGATGCACGCCCTCTATACTTTTGGGCCTTACTGGTCTTCCATAAACTCTTGCATGTCTGCATAAACATTACACTTCCCTTTCTTGGATCAACATCATTAAGGCTGGCTCATTCTTAAAAACCCAACATGATTTCCTTCTTGTCTTTACAGTTTTTACATTACATTTCTACTCAACTGTTCCTCCCCTCTGTATTCGAGTGGGTGGGTCAGATTGTACACTCAGCACACCAAATATCATCTGGCTCTCATCAAAGGAAGCATATTTTTTTTGAAAAGACTGTTTTACAGCAGACATTATTCATCATCCCGTTTTAAGTTTATGCTACTGTGTCTGATAGAGAATTGAGCTAATATTTCTTTAATATTGCTCTGAGGATTTGTAGCTTGTGTTTGACTATTAGATGTCCTTCTTGTTAATATTACATGATGTTGCTGTATCTTACTCCTAAAGAACACTGACCAGTACTCAACACTATAAACTCACCTGACTTTGAACATTGAGGTGTGATAAAAACAACAGACATCTTGCTATGGAAGCTGTTACTCGATGACAAGAGCCAATTTGAGAAGACTAGACAACTTCATCAGAGGGCTGCCAAGACTCTAGGTCTTGTTACTGATCTGCATTGGTCAGTATCTATCAAAAGTTGTAAAAAAGGAATTTATTGAGTAATGAGCCAGTGACAGGATCTCCGGCAGCCAAAGCTCATTGAAGCATGATAATGGCCTGTGTGCTTCATCCAGGAAAGGAACTATTTCCTCAAGTTCTGAGAGAAAGGTCAACTGAGAGAAAGGTATCAAATTACTAACAGAGGATTGTATTGTGCTCCAATAAATCACAAGGATAAGCAGGGGTTCAAGGAACGGGATGCTTCTTTTTGTTTCCTTTGAATGCATAATGTATCCCCACCAAAATATTTTTGCAGACATTATATAAAAATAATAAAAATAATGAAGTAAAATAATATAAAAAAATACTCTATATGTAAAAAAGTAACTATATATATATATATATATATATATATATATATATATATATATATATATATATATATATATATATATATATATATATATATATATATATATATATACTTTTTTTACATATAGAGTATTTTTTAACATTATTTTACTTCATTGTCCAGGAAAAGCTTTTTTTTTTTTTTTTTTTTTTTTACTTAATCTTAATGAAAATGATCAGGTTTAATAAATTCAGCATATGAAATTGATGATGAGACAGAGCTGAGAGAGGTGGAAGGGACCAATCAGTTATGTTGTGGGTGACAGTGTATTTGATCATAATTATTTTCTTTTATTTTATGTCTGTAGTACATGGGCCCTAAGAGCCATGTCCGGTTCTACAGTGGCACTGGGAACTGTTGGCCTCTGTTGAGTGCTGCCTATAAAGTGGCTCTGTTTTTAAAGAAGTTAAATAGGTGTTTTCCATCTAAGCCTTTGTCTTATCCTTTAACTGTAAACTTAAGAAGAAAAAGGAAGACATGTCCCAAAAATAGGCTGCTCAGTGATGCAGTGTATAGCACTTCTGCCTTGCAGCAAGGAGGTTCTGGGTTCGATTCCCAGCCTGGGGTCTTTCTGCATGGAGTTTGCATGTTCTCTCTGAGCATGCGTGGGTTCTCTCCTGGTACTCCAGCTTCCTCCCACAGTCCAAAAACATGACTGTTAGCTTAATTGGCTTCTCTAAATTGTCCTTAGGTGTGAGTGTGTGCGTGAATGGTTGTTTGTCCTGTCTGTCTCCATGTTGCCCTGCGATGGACTGGCGACCTTTCCAGGGTGTACCCTGCCTCTCGCCCATAGCCAGCTGGAGATAGGCACCAGCACACCTCGCAACCTCACTTGGGATTAAGCGTATAAAGAAAATGGATGGATGGATGTCTCAAAAATGTGTTTAATTATCTGGTGCAGAACTTCCTTGCTAAGAATTTGTTTGTTATAGACAACGTAAAAATGTCCCTAGACAAGAGTTCCTTTTCCAATTCTTGGAAATTTCACAATATTTCACATTAGCACTGTTAAGATTATTGAAATTTATAGTACAGCTCTTTGAACGAAGCTAAAAACTCTTTAATATAATTTTTACTAAAGCATGTCTTAAAAGTAAAATGTGAAACCTAAATATACATCCATCCTCCCTTCTTCTCCCACTACATCTATCGTGGGGCCACTGTTTTATCTCCAGCAGTCTATGGGAGATAAAACACTGTCTGTAGCAGGGCAACACAGAGACACATAACCAAGCACACACACACACACACACACACACGCACACACACACACACACACACACACACACACACACACACACACACACTCACACCTAAAGCCAAGAAACCTAGCAGTCATGCTTTTGGACTGTGGGAGGAAGCCGGAGTACCAGGAGAGAACCCAATTTTCACAAGCTGCTTCATTGTGCAGCCCTAATCTAAATATAGAAGAAAGCTTTAAAAGACCTAAAACTCCTAAAGGGATTTGCCCATTTTCTGGGAATGGCAGTAACTCTTATTGTAAACTTAATTCATGCCACTATGGTGTTGGTTCTCGTTGGTACATTTCACCCATTAACCTTCATTCTATGGCCTGCAGGCCATCTGTCAGCTGCGCCTGTGTTTTTACACAGCCTGTGCTGTACTCATTTGTGTGTGTTTTTGCATACGAGGAAATGTGTTTCTTCCTTCTTTCAACTGTGCCTTGGTCTAACAATTTTAGAAGGTATGCACTGGGCCATCTTAATGTGTTAAAGGCGAGAACACACATTTGTAGATTAATTAAGGGAATTTCTTGCACTCAATGTGACACAAACATACACACACTCACATATAGCGTCTAACATGTGTTTCAAATTTATCAGACTGACAGACTTGGAGTGTGTACAAAAAGGGAATTCCTCTATCGGCACGCTCACTTTAGCTGCACATGTGCTCAGCAGCTGCTCCACACAAACACACAAGCAAGACGACAGAGGTGTTTTATGAAAAAAGGATGATAAACAGTAATTCTTAGGTCGTTCCACAGTGTCTCGTTCTGAGCATGGTCCTCCTGACCTTTCATCATGCTCTGAAAAAAGCCTCTAAAGAGCCACTGAGGAGGCTGCTGAGAGTGTGCCATATCAGGATAACACCCTTTCATGTTCCTCAGACATCACATCCTAAAACTCAATGGTGAATTGTTTACCCACTCTTAGTGTCTCAAAGGGTATGCACATGTGCTAGTTGCTCCCTTGAAGGTCAACTGCGTGTGATTGCAATGTGCTACATGAGCTCCAGAAGTGGTGAACTTGTTTGGCATGTAAATGCTGCATCAACATGTTTTTCTTTTTCCTGACTCTCTGTTTCTTTTGTTCCCCAGGATGTTGGAGTACTCACTAAACCTGCAAAACGTTAGCTTTTCAGCAGTGAGAACAGTTCGCGTGCTGAGACCGCTGAGAGCCATCAATCGGGTGCCAAGTGAGTGCAGTTTTCTCACCCTTTTCACACTAATTTTGACCTTGCCTCTGGGGTTTATTACAATTTGTCCTCTGATAGCTCAAGAACTTCGTTTTTCCCTGGAGACAGACACAATTTGGTTTTAAACTATTCCAGACTGCTCTGTTTAAAACCATAATAGTTACAAACAACAGATTTTGCATACTTTCACTCAAAATAATTTAGTTGTTTGTGGTGTGCTGGTATCAGAAACCTTTTTGATCAAATGTTGGTTTATTACCTGCCAATATATTTTCCATAGTAGCTATTACATGGTAAATCAAAAAAGGTAGAATATTGTTAATATTATAGGATGTATTTTAATAAAGTGATTCCGCATTTGTACCATATATACATTTACTACACAGTGATATATTTCTGAACTTTATTTTTGTTCCTTTTGATGAACATGTATCTGTATTTATTTTCCAAAAATTGGAGTACCACATAGGCAATTAAGGTTTATTTATTAATACTGCAGTGTCAGTCGACTAATGTGCATGTACAGTATATATTACCGCATGCTCCTATTATTCTCCTGAGTTAATGCGGCGTGTTAAGGAGTTCAACAGCCTGTGCCTCTGCAGTGGTGTGAAGGAAGCCCAGGTTGCTTTATTAGTGTCCTTTAGCTTCTCTGCATTGTTGGCTCTTTCATCTCTTTCACTTGGCAACACTCCACAGACTCTTTATGGGGTTTAGGCCAGCCCAGTTTCTTGGGCAATCTTGCTCAGCGATATTATGGACAATCAAGCAGGTCTCTGTACCTTCCTTGGTACGTCTGGATCTGATTCAGACTTTGGCAGTTTGAGCAGGGTCTAGTCATGCATAAAAATGAAATAATCATCTCTATAAAGCTTGACAGCAAAGGGAGGCATTAAGTGCTCCAACAGAGCTGACCGACACCAGTAGATGGCGTGACTCCCCAAACCATCACTGACTGGGAAAACTTCACACTGGTTCAGCAACAATGTGGATTTTACGTTTCTCCATTAAAACTTGAAAAAACAAACTGTACCTTCATCTAAAACAGAGGAGTTTAGACCGATGAGGAAAAGTTCCATTTTCTTCTTCTGCCTGGACATTTTTCAAAATACTATCAAAGATGTTCGTAGCATTGGCAACTTTTGGAAAGACTTGTTGGTACCCCTCATTTATTGAAAGAAATACTCACAATGGTCACAGAAGTAATCTGAATCAGGCAAAAGTAATAATAAATTAATATTCTATGAAAATGCACTATAAAAGTCATGCAATGCTTTCAACCATGCTTCAAATGAATAACAAACTAATAAACTAATGAAACAGGGCTGGAGAAAAATGATGTTATCGCTTGAAGTGACATGTAAAATCAAGGTCTCATAAGTTTGTGGGCATATATATGGGGCTAGAGATAGTCAATGTGCTGTTTGGTGACATGGTGTGTACCACACTCAACATGGACCAGAGAAGGCAAAGAAAAGAGCTGTCTCAAGAGATTTGAAAGAGGATTATAGACAAGCTTTTAAAAGTAAAGGCTATCTCCAAACAACTCAATGTTCTGAGAATACAGATGCGTATATTATTCAGAAATTTTAGATCCATGGCATTGTCGCCAACCTCCCTGAATGTGGCCAAATGAAGGACATTGGTGACAAATCAAAGAGAGGGATTATACGACTGCTGAAAGATGCAGTCTGGAAATAACACTGTTCAAGCCTGAAACAACTGGAGTCAAATAGTTGAGTTAACTCAGTATGCAGTTAGTTGCTCTAGGGTTGTCTTAATCACGTAATTATATGATTCAGGTATGCTGAACCAAAGGCACTTCTAAAGGTTGCAGGATACCGGCCCTCAGGAACTGGATATGCCTACCTCTGGCTTTTATAGTACCTGCTAAGATGAGCAGATGTCTCATTGCCAGTTACAGCAATCACCTGATTGCTTCTAAATGTTGCGCAACAAAATTAAGTTACGGGTGCCATCATTTTTGTCCAGGCCTGTTTTCTGAGTTTATTTTTTTAAACCACTCTGTTTAAGTGTGGTTGAAAAACAATGTCTGACTTTCATTTGCTTATTTTCATTGTAGTTTTATTTATTATTACTTTTGGTCAGATTTTATTTATTTCTGTGACTACATTGGGTCCTTATATTAAACGAGGGGTACCAACAATTTCGTCAACCTGTGTATGTGGATAGATGTAGTCTTCATTTTTAATAATTTCTTTTGTTTAATTGTAACACTGCCCGTGGTGTACTTTCTAATGAAACTTTGGAGGCCAAAAATTGATTATGGCTAAACGTGATGATTATGTACTGAAGGTTCATATACTCTGTGTAATAGCCTGAATGCTCAAATGTGTATTTTTCCTCAAATTAGTGTGAATTACAGAAATGAGCAAGGAATGAATCTCTAGTGCACACTGATGTTTAAATAAAACATGTCCATTTAATACAAGTCTAGCATTCCACAACTTTAATTCATCCCCTTTGTATAGAATCACCTGGTATTTCTAAGCTCCTAATTATGCCACTACAATCCATCAGGATCACTGCACACAAACTTCACAGGGAGCCTCAAGACGCGTGTGTTTGCATACCTACAGGTACATAGCCAGTGAATGTGACATCACCAAACTCCCTCACAGCTCTCTGAGTTGGCTGCTGATTAGGTAATCCCATCCTCCTGTCAATCAAGGCATTTTTTGCGGTCCAACACCCCTCATTAGGTGCATAAGCACACGGACAATCAGAATGTATGCAGTCATGCACACTGATTCACTCATTAGGTATCCAAGGATCCTCAAACCAATCACAGACCTAATTGTGGTGTTGAAGTGTGGCTGATATACCAATAGTAGGGGAAAAATGTCAGGAGTGGGACACTGGTGAGGCCGGGGCCTAGGATTGTTTATGTCTGCTGCCTCCCTGCCTGCCTACTGTTCCTTGCACACACACACTTTATACCTCATCAGATCCTGCAGAGAACCTGGCAGAACCCATCATGATTCTAGGGTGGGGATGTTTGTTGGGGAGCTTGAGCTATTTTAGGCTCACTTAACTACTTTTTTTTGCCCTGCTCTTGTTTTTCACTTTTCCATTAACCTCGTTGGGTAGGAAACAAATCTGAAAAAGGTCAAATCTGCAGTTTGCCCTTTTAAAGTTGACCAAGTACGCAAATAGAATTTTAACTGACTAATTGGTGCTCTCAAATAGCACAGAGACAGTCTGGAAAATTGTATTCAGAGCCCCTGTGTTTCACAAATCAACAGTTGATTAAAATGTGTTCCTTTGTGTCACAGATCCAGAAAGAACAAAAAAAAATAAATAATAATGATTTAACATGGGTGTTCAGGCAGGACTGAAGGAAAGGAAAGGCTGCTTAAACCCAGAGAAGTGCTCATTAGTATTTGGTAATTGACATCAAGCTTTTTTTCCATGCTTCACAATTATTAGCTTATTCACAGCTCTGCACTTAAATAACCTGACGGCTAATCATGTTTTTTTGTGAGTCAATGACGGCCATCATTACTTCAGTTTCCCCAAAATAATTTCACTGATTTGTTTATGTCATCTGCAACACCTACCACTGCTACCCCATTATTAGAACTATTCATGCATTGTACTTCTTGTATTTTATGAGAAATTTAGACCCGCTTAAGTACTTACTGCAAATCATTATAATGACAAGTGTATCCCAAGAATTTTATACTCAAGTGTTAGTAGAAATCTTTATGAGAATTAGATGTTTAAGGAGCAAAGATTTTTTGGTCATTTTTCTCTGAATGCAGTATATTTTCATCGATTAATAATTTTTCTATTTGTTATGTGGCATTTAAGAAATTTTATAGCCCTGGGTGATTTGAGGACAGCTATCAATGTGGTTCCTAGGCTAAATGCAGGGACAATATTACAGTAGCAGCCATTTAAAATGGCCCTTCCCAGTCAAACACCAGCCAAATGGCAGCCAACTTCCAGCCACTGGAGTGACCCCCTCCTTCTCCTGGGCATCCCCTTTTTGTATACCCTGACTCCAAAATCTCACTGAATGACAGAGTCTGAGCAGGAGATAGCACTTCTCTTTAGATCTTAAAGTCTACAAATCATGACATAAAGAATATTTTAGTACAAAGATTGATGTTTTAAAAAGGAATCTTAGGGATCCAAGCAAGGACCAGCAAAGGACCAGCCAAGGGCCCATCAAGGAAAGTGGGGAAATTTTGAATGAGAACTACTGTATATCCAAAAATATACAGTTTGTTATATAATGTGTTTTAACAAGCAACCATTAAAGAACATATTCTCCTAGAAGTAAGAATATATTAAACAAAAGTTTATCCTATTTATCAGATTGGGGAATCTGAATGCATCTAGACACCCTGTCCTTGATTGAATTGTAACAGAAAAAGGGCTGCATTTGAATGCTTGTTGCAGATTTTCCATTGTTATTTCTGAAAAGGTTTTCATTGTTGTTAGCCTCTCTATATTGGTAGGAGGAAATATTAAAATAAATGTTTAATCGCAGGGCTTAATTGGTTCATACTGTAATGATAAAATTATTTTGATTAATTCATGTTTTAATTTCTAGAATTTGGTGAGAAGTTTGTTAAAAAAGTGATTGGATCAATTTTGTGAGGCATTTCTGTATTCTGCACTTTAGTTACCTCTAAACTCAGTCAGCTTTGCCTTTAGGTGTGTTTTTTGCATCTCTGTTTCTTTTTTTTCTCTTGTTTGGAAAGTTAAAGCTTTGCATAGCATAAATTGATTTTAAATTATGTCATTAGTGGATCATTGCTGTTGCTTTTGAATCACGGTTCGTTGGTTTCTCCAGTGGTGTATACAGTAAGTTTGACATAAAGAATATAACACTTAAGAACCATTGTGCTTATATGGCGACAATTTTATCCAAAAGAATTTACAGTAAGCAAGCTTATCTTGAAATAGAATTGTTTATCCTACAGTGTTAAATGTGTAGAAAGATATTGTTAAAGTGCTATTTTCCCATA